TGGGGGGCGGAGTCTCCGGGGAGACGGGCCGGCGCCCGGGGGCGGCGTTGGGAGGCCGGGGGCGGGGCCCCAGCCGATTTAGAGCGGCACACTGAGGTCCTGGAGAGTAGGAGGGCCGTCTGGCCTATGGCTGCCTTGGGTTCGTTCGTGTGACTGCTCCACCTCGAAGCTTCCTTCAGTCACTTAGCAAACACCAGTGTGGCTTCCAGAACCTGCCTGGTCCTGTTCCACCTGCGTGGTGGATAGAGCAGGGAATGAAAGAGTCTTTTGGAGTTTTTCTTTTAATGGGGAAGCAGGCGATAAATAAGATGAGTAAATGATGGAGTATGTGGGAAGGGAGATGTTCAATAGGAACAAAACAATAAAAAGAATGGGGAGTGTGGAGGGAAGGGACACTGCAGTTTTAAAGTGGCCAGGGATGGCCTCCCTGCAGAGGTAACATGCGAGCCCTGAAACGGAGAAGAATGAGCCATACAAGGGGAGGGAGGGGCAATGATTGGTCCATTTTGCAGATGGGAAAACAGAGGCTCAGAGCAGGTAAGTAAAGGACTTGAATTCCCACAGTTGGAAGATGGTAGAGCACGATTTGAAGCCTCTCGGCCCTCAGCCCTGTACGTGGCCATCTTGGTGTGTTCACTTTAGATGTATTTGGGCAGGGTCCTTGTGTGTTGTGGGTCTGGGTTGCTCTCCAGCAGGGCCCAAACTCGGTAACAATGGAGGCTTCTGGGTGCCTCTAAACCTGAGTGATGCACAACTGAGATGGTGAGTTCCCTCCTGTGTCCCCCCCAGACTTAATTGGTACAGTTTGGGCAAAGGGCTGGCTGGGCCAGATCCATGCTGCATGGAATCTGGGTCCTCCAGAGAGAAGGGAATGTGGTGAGGGTGGCTGGGGAGCATGCTGCCCTCTGGTGGCCAGAGTCCACAGGCAATTACAGATCCCGAACAGTGGGTATCTCCTGGGGGCCCAGGCAAGCTCACAGTCACACCCACCTGAAGGGGCAGAATGGCGTGCAGGTACACGAGTGTGCCCATGTGCATGGACTGCCTATGTATGTGAGTTGCTGTACCTGAGAAAGAAGGGCATGTGTGTGTATATATACGAAGGGTCTGTGTGCTCCTGGGAGAGCTAATAACCATAGCACTACTAGTTGTGATGCACCTACTATGTTCCAGACACTTAAAGACCATCTCGTTTCACTCACAACAACACTAGGAACTCTTATGATTCCTGTACTATAGATGAGGAAATGGAGACTGAGAAAGACCAAGCGACTTGCCCAAGGCTGCACAGCAGGTACTTGAATCAGGCAGTAATCACAGCAGAGGTGTGAGAAGGACACACGTGTTGGGCCGTGGAGGCTGAGCCCTCATGGGGAGGGTGACCTTGCATCCTGCCCACCTCTGTTCTGGTGTGATTATTGAGTATCCCCTGTGATTCTCAAAAGTGCTCATGTGGGGGTGGAAGATTATGGGGGCACCCTGATTATAGACCTGCTGGGGTATGGGGATGGGATGGGGGAGACTGGAAGTAGGGGCAAGATGGACGTCTGGGGCCTCCTGGACCTGGTGTCTAGGGTGTGCAGGGCTTTCTGGAATCACCTCTCTGTCTGGGAGGGCAGGAGGGAGGAAGGCCTCAGTCAGTTCCTGCAGGCTCTCCAGACTCCTGTTCTAGGGTCAGCATTCATGGCCTCTGCAGCAGTCCTGAGGGAGGCGTTTGGTCTGACAGGCAAGTAGGAGAGAGAGAGAGAGAGCAGGTTTCAGAAGACCGCGGAACTTTGCCATGAACCTAAGGTACGCCCTATGAGCTTGCTAGGACTTTGCCCTCTCATCTGGGCAGTGGAGTTGATGGTGAGCCAGCCCAGAGAGTGTCTCCAGAAGGAGGCAAGAAAATGTGAACAGAGGTGCTTTGTGACTGTAGCATGATGGCCCGAGCCTGGCTGTGCGTCAGAGTCACCTGGAGAGCCCTTAACACTACACCAGGGCGCCACCTCCAGACCAGCTAAATCGGAACTGCAGAGGTGGGGCCTGTGCTGCAGATTTTTCTAAAGCTCCCCAGGTGATTGTAATGTGCATTAGGACTGGAGTGGTGGTTCCCAAGTTTTGTGCAAGTTGAATCCCATGGGGATCTTTTGAAATACTGATGCCTGCTGCCCACCCCGAGACATTCTGATTTGGTGCTGGGTGCAGCCTGCGCGTCAGGACTGTTTCTGCAAGTGCTGCAGGTGGTTCCACTGCGCAGCAGGGTGGGAGCCTCTGGCTCAGAGGCAGAGATGGGTGATGGGAGGGAGAACGGTACTACTTCAGGCAGGGGGAGGCAAGAGGCTCTGGTGGAGGATTCAGGCTACCTGCGAGGCACTTGTCTTGGGGAGGAGTAGAAGGACGGTGCCTCGCAGGTAGCCTGAATCCTTCTTGCTGCATTGGCCGCCCCAGCAGAAACCAGTCAGGGTCCTCATGTGGCCCCAGGTCAGGTGTGGTGAGCCCATCCGTTCATCTCTGGGTGAGGTGGGGGCCAGGGAACTGTTGGGAATATTTGTGGGACCTGAGACCCTGGGGGAAGGGAGGCGGCTCTGG